CACAAAGTTTAGAATGATTCTAGGATTATGTCTCATAAGCCACGTCTAGTAGAGTCTTGTTCATGAGTGTGAAGCACGCCACATTTATGAATAAGAAGCTACAAGATATTTAGGAAATTCCACTTCTTTCATTATTCTTAAGTCGTGCGATAAAGTTTAACTCTATAAGGTTTTTCTCATAATCCTTATATGTTGATCTATAGGATATGACTACCCGAAGGGTGTTCACAAGAAGGAATGATGAAGTTTATTATATATGTGAGAAATCAAAAGCAGGACCATCAACTTTTCGCAAAGTTTAGTAAGTGTGAATTTTTGTTAAGATATGTGGCTTTCCTTGGTCACATTGTATCAAGTAGGGGTATTGAGGTGGATCCCAAGAAGACGGATGTGGTCAAGAGTTGGCCAAGACCTCTATCTTCTTTGGACATTAGTAGCTTTTTGGGTTTGGCCGGTTATTATAGAAGATTTGTGGAGGAATTTTCTTCCATTGCCTCTCCGATGACAGTTTTGCCTTAAAAGAAGGCTAAGTTCTTTTGGTCGGAAGCTTGTGAGAAAAGTTTCCATGAGTTGAAAGATAGACTTACTTCCGCTCCGGTGTTGACTTTACCAGAGGGTACATATCATTTGGTGGGGCCTATGGGACGGTTAAGTTGAGGACTTAAGGGTCTTCTCCGGTTTTAACCCAACTTAAGTGAAGTCGTTTTTCTAAAATTAGGTTCACTATATAAGCCTTTTTAACTCTTAAATTCACCCAATTTAAGTCTTAAATTCACAAAGTTCATCCTCTCCAAATATTTTGTCTCTAGAACTTGAAGAGTAAGAAGAAGAAGAAGTAAGTTTGAGCTAGGGTGCAAGAAGTAAGGTTCTTCACATGAAATTCATTGGGCTTTGTTATTAAGGTATGGTAGCTTTTATCCATGGATAGATTTCATCCATGGAGTCCCTTCAAAATCTCAATTACAAAGATAGAAATCCCTAAATGTTAGGGTTTGATTCCAAAGTCATAGGTTCCTTTCAAAATCGATCCTAATGATTGAACAATGTTATATTAAACATGAATTGATGATTTCCTATGGTTTTTATGATGAATCCCCATATTTCTCAATTGTAATCTTGTGATGTGGGTATTTGTTGATGAAAGAAGAATGTTATGAAATTATGCATGTAGAGATAGAATTACTTGAATTATGATGATATCCATGTCTAGTGTATTGAATTCTAGATGTATTGATTGAAAGTGGACTTTGAACCTTGAAAGGGTAAAGTATGACAATTATGCATGTTTTTATGAAATCTATGTAAGTGCTTTAAAAACACTTTAAGAGTGAACTATCTATGATTATGATGTTGTTGTGTTGTTGAAAGGATATTCTCATATACACACCTATGCATGCATATGATATGATGTGAAAGGTTTTCTCGCGTAATGAAAATTCTAAGGTTAAAAGGATTTCTCACCTAATTGAATCTAAGACTTGTATGTAGACATGGACGGTGAAAGGTTATTCTCACGCATGATCTAAGAGCTATCTTATAAATTAAGCTTGGATTGATTGTCAAGGACATTCTTCCAAGAATATGAGTTAAGTCAAGCCTTAATAATTACTAAGTGGGAATTAATGCTTAGCACCGAATGGATATTGAATATGAGATGGAAGATTTTACGTAAGTTGAGTCAGGCTTCCAAATGGGATCCTTTTACACTAGTTGAGTTCGAGTTCCCAAGTTTATCTCATGAGATGGAGACCTTCTACGCAAGTTGAGTCCGGGTTTCTAGTAGCAATATCCTTATCCCATAAAGTATGTGCTCCCATAGGTTATTTAGCTAGTGGATCCACCTAAGATAAAGTTATGGTTCTACCTTAGGCAAGTAGGACACCTATTTTCGATGTGGTAACACCGGGGGATCATGTATAGCTCATATGGTCTCGTGTCGGTTAAGGCTTATTCCCACATCAAGAACAAGAATTTAATTGATGAACTATGGTTACTCAATAAGCTTTGTATATGAGTTTCCAAAGGCTTTTACGATGATGATGACTACGTTGGCTATGTTTTATGGCTTATGCTCTCTAAACTCTTAAATCATGTTTTAATTAATAAATTGCATACTTTCAAATGAAATGTCCCTTTTAGTATGCTTTCAATGTTTTATGCATGGCTATCATACTTAGTGCATTGTTGTACTAACGCCTACTTTTCTTTCACTTCTCCCAAGTGTAGGGTCCGGTTCTCGAGGTGATCATTCTAGTGGGTAGAGCTTGGACTTGAGTATCTTCCGAGCTTGTTGGTGAATCCTCATGTTTCGAGGACGCCTTTTTTTCCCATGTTGTAGTTTCGTTCATGTATTTTCATTTCTGGACATGTTGTATGGGCTAGGCCCTATTTCCCTATTTCATTTCAAACATTGTAATAGATGGCTGCTGATACTTATTGTCTAGGCTTCCGCTTTTCTTTTATGAAAATTTTAGACATTGAAATGTGTTTTTACTCTTATTGTTGTATTGCTTATGTTGTGAAGACTAAGTGGCTTGTATGGAGTTCTTCGGGGTTCTATAAGCCATGTTACGTCTAGGGGGTACCCCTGGGTCGTGACAGTTTTATTAGCTAGTGGATACACTTAATCTAGAAGTTTATGGTTATACCTTGGCAAGTAGAACAACTCTTTTCGGTGTGGGAGACACCGGGGGATCATGTTATAGCTCACATGGTCTCTATGTCGGTTAAGTCTAATTCCCCACTAGTAATAATGAATTAAGGTTACTTCAAGAAGTATCGCATTTGATTTCAAAGGTTTTAAAGATGAAGTTAGCTTGCATTTACCATAGTTTATGACTTATGTTTTATCATTCTTTATTATCATGTTTAGCTTGATCAATTGCATGTCATGAAATGAAATGATCCTTTTAGCATGATTTAAATATTTTATGCATGGCAGTCATACTTGGTACATTGTTTTGTACTAACACATACTCTTGCATACATTTTTCCCAAATGTAGGGTATGATATTCAGGGTGCTCAATTTCGTGGCTAGTGGGTGAGTTGATATACTTCCGAGCTTTTGGTGAGTCCTGAAGCTTTGAGGACGGACTTTCATTGTTATAGTTTCTTTCTTGTATTTCTCTTTTGAAAATGATGTATGGGCTAGGCCCAATCTCATTCTATTGTATTAGATGGATATGATGAGACAAGTGTATTAGACTTCCCCTTTGCTTTTATAAAATGTTTTGGGCTTGGACTATTGTTTTATTTCTAATGTTATGAGAACTAAATGCCTTGTATGAAGTCCTTCGGGGTTCTATACACCATGTTGCATCTAGGGGGTACCCCTGGGTCATGACAAACTTGGTAATCACAGCATAAGGTTTAAAATGGTTCTAGGATGTATCATAAGTCAAGGTCTAGTAGAGACTTGTTCATAAGTGTGAAGCGTGCCATATTTGTGAATGAGAGGCTAAATGATGATTAGGAAACTCCACTTCTTTCATTACTCTTAAGTCGTGCGATAGAGTTCAACTCTATAAGGTCTCTCTCCTAATCCTTATCCTATGTTCTTCAAGAATGGCTTCACGAAGATCCTATACTAGAAGGAATGCAAGGGAGAATGCGGAACAAGAAGCTCCTCCCCAAGCACCTCAATTTCCGGTCGATCCTTTGGCCGAGCAAGTATCTAATGCAGAGTTTAGGGCTACATTTCAAGTATTGGCTAAAGCCATAACGGCCCAAGCTAATAGGGAGGTAGTGGTTCTCATGAACCCAAATGTGGGTACGACAGCTTCAAGAGTAAGGGACTTTACAAGGATGAATCCTCTGGAGTTTCATGGTTCTAAAGTTGAGAAAGATCCTCAAGAATTTATTGATGAGGTCTATAAAATTTTGATGATCATGGGAGTTACGGTGGCGGAAAAGGTGGAGTTCGCCGCTTATCAACTAAAAGGTGTGGTTCAAATATGGTATAACCAATGGAAGGAAGAGAGACCGGAAGATGCGGGTCCTCTTGATTGGGAAAAGTTTAAGGCCACTTTTCTTGATAGGTTCTTTCCCCTTGAGATTAGGGAAGCCAAGGTGCTTGAGTTCATTAACCTTCGACAAGGAAGTATGAGTGTGAGGGAATATGCTCTAAAGTTCACTCAATTGTCTATGTATGCTCCATCCATGGTTGCCAATTCAAGGGCTAAGATGAGAAAGTTTGTTTCGGGTGTGTCCGAAATGGTGGTTAAAGAGTGCCGCACTGCTATGCTCATTAATGACATGGACATATCTCATCTCATGGTTCATGCACAACAAATTGAGGAGGAAAAACACAAGGAAAGGTCTAGAGATGTAAAAAGGGCTAAGACCAGATATGGAAATTTCCCTAATGCAAGGTCTGATGGACAAGGTCGTCCTAGATTTCGACAAAAATTTTCCGGTCATGCTTCCTCCATTGCTCCTCCTAAGTTCAACAAAGATAGGGTGTCTAACCCTAAGCCTCAAGGAGTAAATGGTAGTGGATCTTCATTGCCAAGGTGTAATTGCACTAAATGTGGAAGGAAGCACGAGGGTAGGTGCCTAACCGGCACAAATTGTTGTTTCGGTTGTGGTAAAAGTTGTCATAAAATGAGGGATTGTCCGATGCTTACGGCTAAAGGAAAAGTGGGCAAGCAAGCTACTACTAGTTGTGCAGGTCCCTATGCTCCTAAGGAAAATCGTTTCTATGCCCTTTAGACTCGTGGTGAACAAGAGAGTTCTCTATGGTGCTTAAGAAAACCTGAATACAACAAGAAGTTATGTTGCGGTCACTAATCCTTTTTGATAGAGTATGAGTTAAAGCAAAAACTAAAGTTCTCGGATGATGATCCTGATATAGTTACAGTGTTAACTAACAGTCAATAAAGGCCAATGTTTTGGAGAGTGCCAGACTTCATATTGGGAAATGGTGAGGAGAAAACAGCTCCATGACAGAGAGATATGAAGAAGTCAAGTTGGCAAAGAATTGACGAACAATCTTACCACTAGTTTGTAGGCTCTTCGCACGCTTTGGCGTATTGTTGGCACTCCTGTCCTATAAAAGATGAAAAACACCAAAATTACTTGTACATGGCAATATAAAGGATCAAACTTAAGAAAATCAATGCTTAATGACCTCTACAAGGATTCAACAGCAGACCTTTACAATTGGCTCAGCAACCTCACCATAACCAAGAAGGTGTTGCTCCTGCCAGCCTAGCCTACAACGAGCAGCTGAATCTCATATTGCCCTTCCTGATGCAGAAATTTGGTAACCACTTCCCTGTAGAATTAATTTAAATAGTTCATATTTGTATATATATGCAAAACAAAATGCCCAACTTCAGTAAATAATCAAATCAGAACAATAAAGTTCATCAAAAGCTTTCTTCTACATAAATATGATGGTCCAATCTGACAACCCTTCAGACACTTCACTTGAGGCTCAGACTGGGAGATTGAGGTCTTTGACAGCAATGCGACTGCAGGAGTATTGAACTGCAAAGAGACAGCTATGAGGTGTGCACCCACCAACTCCCTCTACAAGTAAACTCCTTCTAGTTCAACCTCACTTTTGTCAAGGACTTTAATATATTACTGTCCCATCACCATATGGCAAGATGGTGGTACCAAGCTAGGCTGGATTTTTATCACTCATGTAGTTGATAATGTTTTACATAACTAGGTGGACTATCTTGATGGATGACTCTGGCAGGGGGAATCAAGCCCTTGATATATGGTTGAACAATGAATTCACTTTTCTTTATTAGCTACACGTTCTTTTTAGAGAAAGGTAATTGTCTTACAAAGCTAGTACTAAGTAAGTGTTGTAGTAAGTACAATTGAGAAAAAAAAAATCCCTATCTAATTCCTATAGGTATTGTAAGAGACTAAGTATTGATTATGCTTAATTTACAAATTCCTCTTTAAAGCTTACACCAAAAGAAAGCAAAAGTGCTTGAGTTAGCTATGCCTTCAAAGCAACTATTGTTCATTTCCTTCAAAATAGTCGACCATAAGCATGTTGGAGTTACTTTTTTTTTTAAAAAAATTAGTTATACATTGTTTACAATAACAAATAGAAACTTTAGCTACACATGGGCACAACCATATATGTCCAATCTAAAATCGAGTTACTCCTTACTTAAAACAAGTCTTTCCCTAGTGGCCCTTATCCCAAAGTAAGGCCATACTGATTTCCGTCGAAGTCAACAAAAGAAGGATCTCCATGATCAACTTTGAGAACTTGATCAAATTTAAAATACGTCGATGATTCAACTACTTAGGGTAATAGGCTTCCCCATATATCAATTAAAAGGTGTACAACACACATCATATGTGAAGATACATCACATAACAACAAAGTAAACACAGTGTTACCTCATTGTCAACACCCAAAGAAACAGGCAGAAGAGCAATAGGAATTTGAAGCTCTCTATTTTGTGTCCTATGCCTTTCATATGGTAGAAGTAACTAACATACAGAGAAATCATGAGATAATAGAATATACAGAAACAAAAAGTAAGAGACAAATAATTTTTTAGAACAAATTCTATTCAAAATCACTATATAAGTTTGGCAATTCAAATATGGAAACTTTCCAGTAGAAGTGAGCTAGAATGTCCAGCTGCCATCTTACAATCATATAACCAATTGCACAATCAACGATGGAAAGAAGAAGAAAAACAGAACCACGAAAATGAAAAGAAGCAAACTATTCAACTGACTTTATAGGCTACGAAAGATGGGCTGTTAATATAAGTTTTCTAACTTGATACTTCACAAAGCACCCACCAATTTTTTTGATAAGGTTAAATAAATTGTTAATGATTGAGGAAAATCTTGTATACAAGCCGTATACGAAGATATAGAGAACCTATACAAAAATATGGTCCTCTACAAAAGACATTCAATTATCGATACAAGCAGGGACCTCATAGGTGCACCAAAAGAGAAACTAGAGATAAAAAGGCTAATCCTTACATTTACAAACTCAATTTCTATCCCTTCAAGCACTCTATCCTTCTCCTTCCATACAACCCACATAAAAGATAACATCGCAAACCACCTACCCACTAACAAGGCGACATAATTCACCTTATACCAAATATTAGCAGCATGGTGGACAAAAGTCAAAATATGCCTATAACTATCAAGGGAAGAGAACTTCAGGTTATTACCTTCTCATAGAAGCTACGGAATATCCAAAAAACAGTAGTGCAAGTCCTGAGAAACAAGATTATCAGATCCCCAAAAAAAGCATTTAGAGAAATTCGTATAATAGTAGATAAAAGGCATTGGTATTGAATTATATATTCAGTTGATTATCATTCCTGTAAATTCTTATCTTATTTGAGCATCAAAATATAGTTTGCTCATCACAACCCCATTTCACATTGAGAAAATCTAGCATAAGGAAGCATCCTTCCAGTATCTCATAAAGTCTAGACTTTCTATTTAGAAGAATCTGTAAATATTTTAGGCTTCAAGTACCTGCGTGCTTAACTCCAGAACCAATTACCACCACTCAGATATGTGTATAAGATCCCTGGTCCTCTATATTTGACCAAGACCTAATAAAAAGAAAGATGCAACATTCCTTGGGTATGTTGTTGTTTGTTGTTAATGCAGTGTATGTTTCTTAGCACTTATAGCCAGAGTTGCTCGGACTCGGTGAAGGTGTCCAATATGGTGGATCCAGATGTTGGATCCTTCATGATCTAATTTTTACGATTCCGGGATATGGATCCATGTAGGGATACAGGTGTAGGGATTCACCTTAAATAATTAAAATATCTAAAAGAAGAGTTAGAAAACCTAAATTATGAGATATTATAAGGGAACTTGAGGAGAATCCAGGAAGGAGATTAACGGAAAAGGAGTGACATAGAAATTTCTATATAAAAGGTATTTCATCTTCTTCAATTTCACCTTAGCTTTTGTATTGATTACAGACAATCATTAAAACTGTCCACACTTACCCCCATCGATTTTGGTCAAAGCACCAAAATTGGTTGACCAAATTGGACACGGATCCCACACCCATGTCGTGTCAACACAGGTAAGACTCTGAACAGTTTTGCTTATAGCTTTGATGTTGGAATATATGTTGTTACTAGTTTTTTGACACATGTGTGGCACATGATTATCAATTCCAAATATATATGTTATAGTAAATAATATTTCTTATTTAAGCGAAGATTTGAATAATAAGCTCAGCAAAAAATAATATTGCAGATTTTTTTGTGAATGTTCAACGTGAATCGTCATATATATCTCTTATTGATGCAAATCTACGAAGATGGTCAATGTTTATTAGTTAAATGCAATTATGTATATATTTATTTCAATTTGATGAGGTTCAATTATGTAATTAGTCATATCTCACTAATATTACCTTATAGACAATATTTGTTTTGTATTTTTCTTGTCATCTAACCAGATGTGCTTTGCATGTGTATTCCACGTTAAATTGTTTAGATATCAAATGAACATGTGAAGAGAACAACTACATTTTATATATTCACATATTTTCGCAGTTGTTGTGAGTTTTCTTTAAAAAAACTCGGAACATTTTAAAATAATATATTTTGAAGTTAGAAGATCTTATTAACTTGATAATACATTTGTGACATATATAATACTCTAATTTATATACAAATACCTACCCAAATATAAATATATATCTGCATTAATGAAAATATTTATCTCATAAAATTAAATATTAAATAAATAATAAAAATTAAACTAATGCAAACTTCAACTGGCGTTATTACAAGTCATATAAACTTTTTTGCGTCTAAAATATTGAAATATTATGAAATAGTAAAGAAGTAAAACAAAAAGGCAATGTTTATATAGTATTAACTATTTTGAAGAAAACTTTATGAGAGTTTAAATCACATAAGTAGCATTGATAAATAAAATCATTCTTTTGTCTTAAGCATCAAAAATAAATCGTGACGATTCTCTATATTTTGGAAAAAATATTCAGAAGCATATATCTACATCTCAAGAGAAATTGTTGACAAAAACAAATGAATTTATACTACATCATGTTAACTTCATATATTGGAACATTACATACTAATGTATATTGGAGCATACATTATTCTATCATCAAAAATATTTTCCTCAAGTACTCGAGGTTATGAAATATACCCTCTTAGGATAGAACGACTTACTTCATTAGATAAGTGGTACCTCATATTCCGCTAAACTTCGAACTCACTCAACGACAATAAATCACACAAAAAATTATAAAATGCAAGAAGAAGAGTAGAAGATTAAAAAATTGTGGTTGAAAAATGAGAGGAATCCCCTCTATTTATAATCAACAAAGGCTAGTATACACAAATGTTTTTTGTGTCTTATCTAAAAAGTCATGACCTTTTCGAGAAGTCACAACCCTTTGGAAAAGTCACAACTTATTGGAAAAGTCACAACTCTTTGGAAAAGTCACAACTTATTGAAAAAGTCACAACTCTTTGGAAAAGTTACAACTCATTGAAAAATCACAACCCTTCGAAGACAGTCATAACTTATCGAAAAAGTCACAACTCATCGAAAAAGGTCGCAACCTAAGTTAGGGATATTATAGTAATTTAACATTCAAGTTAGGAGTTCAAGCTTTTAAGGTAACATATATATATATATATAGATATAGATATAGATTATTGCAAAAGCATTTCATGTTTTCTTCGTATTTTCAATTTTAGTAGTTTGAATACTCTCCCTGCTATAAAAAGAATGCCTCTTTCCAAAGTTACCAAGTTCAAAGAAAAGAATGCCTCTTTCCTTTTTTGGCAATTCTTAATTTCAACGTGTGACAACTCACATGACATGTTCAACACCACAAGATTAAAGGACATTTTGGTACATTCTACGCATCTTTGGTTTATCTAAACTCAAATCTAAAATGATGAACCTTCAACCTAAAATTCCTATTTGGATAACTTTTTATTGTTTTTGATCCATTTTGATAAGTCTAATAAAGTTTTGATAATCAACATAGTGAACCAGGTTCACCCTGCATAAATAAGACTGAAATAAAAAAGGAAGAGTTCTCGCGCTTAAAAGAAAGTTGGGTCGAAAAGGGAAAATCATCAGCGAAAGAAGTCCTGCATAAATAAGGAGATGTGATAAGTCGAGTTGTAAAAGGAAAAGGTATTGCAATTAAAAGAATTAATTAAAATTGTTTCCTAGCACAATGAGGACTTCTCTCATTATACAGGTCGGATTCAAACAAAGTTCAGAATCTATAAAAGGACAACAACAAGGACAGAAGAAGTCATCTTAGCATAATCCAGAAAAAGAGAGAGCGAGAAAGAGAGAGAGAAAATTCATAGCGAAGACCAAAGTGCTCGAGAGGTAGAAGCGAGAGAATTCTAGAGTTAGAATTACTTTCAAATAGTTGAGTCGCATTGATCTGTTCTTGGATCAGTGTTTGTGAGAGTCTTGAGACTGTGTGAGAATTGTAAACGAGAAGTGGGTTTTGACTTCTAGTTAAGGGGTAGAGTTAGTTGAGAGATTAAGAGTTTTTGTAACCAAGAAGATAGTTTGACTTCTTGGAGAGTGAGGGTGGTTTTGATTATAGATAATCAAAAGGGTAGACGTTTAGATTTAGGTTCATTGATTTACGGAGTTGTAATTGTTAAATTAATATAAAACTCTGTGTGGTTTTTGCCTTCCTTGAGTTAGGAAGGTTTCCACGATATCTTGGTGTTACTATTACTAACGTAAGTATCTTGTGTGTGTTATTCAAGAAACTGGTTCTTGAATACTTGGTAAGGTTTCTTCATTTGGTATCAGAGTAAGGTCTTTTCGTTAAAAGATTCACATCTTGAAAAGAATCAATGGCAGCACCACCTACCCCACAAGAAGGAGCTTCTCAAACTTGACCACCATTGTTTAATGGAAAATACTATGGATGGTGGAAAAACCGTATAATGGATCATTTGATATGCAAAAACCCGATCTTTGGAGCGTAGTGCTGGATGGTCCTACAATACCCATGAAGAAAGGAGACGATGGAGTCACGATAATACCGAAGGAAAGAAAAGAATGGGATGCCACAGACAAACTCGCTATCCAAAATAATACCAAGTCTAAAAAGATCTTAATCTGTGGCATAAGACCAGATGAGTACAATAGGATTTAATCATGTCAAGACGCAAAGTCAATTTGGGAAACTCTGCAGACCGCACACAAAGGAACAACTAAGGTCAAGAAATCTAAAATCAATAACTTGAACAGACAATATGAATTGTTCAGAATGATGGAAAGAGAAACGATTCAAGATATGCATACCAGGTTCACTGTAATCATCAATGAGATTTACTCTTTAGGAGAAGTAATTCCTAACGGGGAGGCATGTCAGAAGATGAATCCGAAGGTGAAGAAACTGA